GAAAAACTATTAATCCCCTGCATAATTTGCTATACTTACTGTAGTACACATTGTGTGTTTTTGTGGCAGCACAGAAAAAAACAGAGCCAACAGATGGACAGAGAGAGAGATTATTATAGAGAAAGAGCACGAATGTTTCTATGATATTATTGAGGTCCTAGGTCCAGTTCCAAGGTATGTAGGACAATAAATCCTCTTTTTTACTCGTTAGGTTAATTTTCTATGACTTGCAGTGGAAGGAATCTTGAGAAGTACACTTATATACAAGTACTAAAGCATACTAAAACTCTAATTCTGCCTCTTCTGGAGAACTCTTAGAGCAGGGGACTTGAGTGCTCATAGGATCAGATCCGGGCTTCTGAGAAATTCTTCCTGTGTTGCTTTAAGGCAAGGGTCCTTAACCTAACCTGATGGCTTGATCCCCTAGAGGTTTTATGAAAGCATGTGACAGAAAAGTGAGCATCTCATCAAACTATGGGTAAAATGATATGTTTTCCCAAATACATGTGCTTTTCTGGGGAAAGAGTCCCTTAATTTCATCTGATTAGTAAAGGGACTCATAAACCAAAAGAAATTAAAGTCACTAATAGACGATCAAAAGCAAAAATGCAGTTTTAAACTCTAATTTCCAGTCTCTAAGTGTATCAGATAGCTACACTTTTTAATTCGAGATTTTGAAACAATGGAGAACCCATGTTGCCCTCTTATTAACATCATGAAATGACTTGTTTAAATATAGATCCGTTAAATGTTTGAAATAAATAATATAAAAGTTCATTTCATAAAAAAAAAAAAGTTCATTTCATCAAGGGCCATCTGTGGTTACCACTGTCTGAAGGATGGGAGAAGCATATAGATTTAACAAATGACTAGAAATCTGCTTAGAGAAGTTCAGATATTCTCCCGGTGTCATGTAAACAAATAAAAGACTGTAGTTTGCTTGTTCTATTTGCATAAAATAATAATTCTCAGCAGTATCAATACATTTCACATGTCACTGATTAAATCTTGAATATTCATGCATGCATTAAAAAGCCTTCTGTTGCTTTGGTGGAACCTAATATCATGAAATGTGTTCCAGCTTTCCTTTAGGGAGAAGAATATTTTAATTGAAAATTAAATCAAAGCTGTTGCTTATCAATAAGAACAATCAAGAAGAGAAAGATGGGAGATTGCCTTGGAAATAGTAGGAGAGGCCCAATGAAATATTAATGTTCTGTGGGCCTGGGGCCCAGAGGGACTAATATTCAAGCAGTAATGAGTGTCTCTAGGCCTCAAGCATCCACTGTATGTACCAGTATCATTGTTTGGGTAATGAGACCACAGGATTCCAGAATGACAGGCAGAGTTGAGGAAAATGGAGCAGGATTGCCCACCAAGGAGCCCAGCATAATAATGAACAGCCATCTGGAAACTTTGGCTTTGATACTAGGCAAGTTCTGCCCTAGGTAGGTAAAAAGTGGGAAAAAACTTTGCTTTCATTGCATGCCTGGTTTAGAATAAAGTCCTTACTAGCCTTTTGAAGTAGAATCACAGAAATTAAGAACATCTGTAGATACAAGTTTCTCAACCTTGGCACTATTGACATTTTGGGGTTGGATAATTCCTTGTTTTCCAGGCTGCAAATTCTTGGGCCCTCCCTCAGACCTACTGAACTATAAACTGGGAATGGGGTCACTCTCCATGTGAGTCTGAGGTTGGCTAAAGTTAAAGAAGCAATAATCTAACTCAACTCTCTCATTTTACATCTGAAGAAAAAGAGGTTGGTTGAGTATTTACTCAAGCTGGCTAGCAGCCAAAGCCACACATCATTTTCCATATCTACAGAGTTTACTAAATGGGGCCTTGAAGGAAGCAGTTGATATCCTGCAAGCATATTTTATTCCAACACCATGACACATGAAACATTTTGTTGCACAGTAAACATTCCAAGACTGGCTGAATCTGTTTCTCAAATTTGGTCTTTCCTAGATTCCCAGGTTTTCTAGGCTTTCATGCAGACTCTTTTACTTTTGTTGACATTATTTTTCTAAAGATTATTATTTTTTACCTATTTTTAAAGTCTTTGCCTACTTCCTTTTTCTTTTTTGCCTTCATCCCTACGATAGCCAGACTTGTAACTTTGATGTGTAGACTTCCAAATCTTTTGTTGTATAATCATATACATATATTCACATACGTATATACACATACATATAGTTATTATACCTAGCACATAGAACCAAGTATTTAGAACAGAACCTGAAACATTATAGATGATCAATAAATATTTATTGAATGGTTTGCTTTATAAAAACAGGAATTTTTTTTTTTTTTTGAGAGGGAGAACGAGCATGCAAGTTGGATGGGGGAGGGGCAGAAGGAGAGGGAGAGTAAAAAATCTTATGCAGGCTCCACACTTAGCATGGAGCTGAACTTGGAGCTCGATCTCATGACCTGAGCCAAAACTAAGAGTTCGATGCTTAATTGACTAAGCCACCTAGGTGCCCCCAAAATGGGATAATTATTTTTAAAATGGGATAATTATATAAATAATAACATATAACAATTTATATATGTACTGTATCTGGCTCAATGCCTTTAAGTAATATCTTCATTAGATTTAATTAGTTCTTATGAATGGTTGCATAATATCTCACCACTGTGAAAGTAATATCAGTTTATTTAACTATATCTCTAATTGGTAGTCAAGATGCTTTTTTTTCACCACCATAAATGAATAATAGCTAACACTTACTGGGTATGTACCACATGTGAAGCTTTTTTTTTTTTTAAGCATTTTCCATGTGTAGAGTCACAGAGTTAAGATTATTTTTCCTGTTATAGGAAACTGAACAGGGATGGGTAAGAAACTTGGCAACAGACTAGTGGGTGTGGCTCCATAGTTCCTTTCAGGAAACTACTTCTACACAGGCAGTAACTGACACAGTTATACATACTTTCAATGGAATGGTGCTTTACTTCTAGTTGACAGTTTTCCAGGAGTGGAATTACTGTGGAAGAATATGTCCATATTTTATATTGCTAAGATTGTTTTGCAAAAAGGCAGTGACAGTTTGTATTTTCACCAGCAGTGTATGGGAGTACACTTTCTTCTATCAGATTATCATTTAAAAATATGTGTATTTATTATTTCTTTTTTCCAATCTAGTGGGTGAGAAGTGATATTTCTCTTTACATGCTTACATGCTAGTGGGTGAGAAGTGATATTTCACTTTACATGCTTTTCATACAGTAGTGAAGTTAAGCATCATATGCTTATCAGATATTTGGATTAACTCTACTACTACAAATCCAAAGACTGCAAAGTAGGCCTGCTGGAGATCACTGAGGAACTAATACCCTCAACTTCAAAAGTTATGAGGCTGAAAACTCAGTCCTTCTTCCAACACATCTGTAACAACTAATCCTTTTAGTAGCCTTTCTGAAGCTGCTAATGATCAGACTGCCTGTACTTGATGTCCTGCTCACCACTTACTAGTGACTAAGTACCTTAAAATAACAGTAATAAAAACCTGCTTCATAGGATTCTTGGGAACACTGAAGGAATTGCTTCTCAATTTATAACTTTCCCCAGTTGTTATTTGGTCTGTTATAGGGATTTGTCATTGATTCTTTTTTTAAGATTTTTTTTTTTTTTTAAGTAATCCCTACATGCAACCTGGGGCTTGAACTCACAACCAAGATCAAGAGTCACATGCTCTACTGACTGAGCCAGCCAGGTGCCCCAGGATTTGTTGTTGCTTTTTGAGTAAATTGCAACAATATAGGGATGAGATCATGGCCTGCTGTTTATAAGATATACCTCTTTTTTTTTTGTTTTGTTTTGTTTTAAGATTTTATTTTTTTATTTTAAGAGAGAGTGTGTGTGTGAGCACGGGAAGAGCAGGGTGACAGGCAGACCTGGCGCTGAGTGCAGTGCCTGACCTGAGGCTTTATCTCAGGACCCATAACCTGAGCTGAAACCAAGAATCAGACTGTTAACTGGCTGAACCAACCAGGCGCCCCAGGGGGGAAAAAAATCTTAACATAATCCTGTGTCTTCGGACCTTCTGTCCCTAATTAAGTCTGTTTTATATATGTACCTTATGTACAACTAAGTTTTTATAGAAGATACACAAGGGTGGATTTCACATAAGCATTTCTAGTTTCACTAACGCAAGAAATAAAACGTATCAAAGACTTCCCTTAAGTGTGCTGCAGAAAATTTTAGAAATGGCAAATAGTAAGATCGGTCATCAAAAGAAGTCTCATCTTTAGTCTAACCACTTTTAGATTTTTTAGAAGTGTGAAAATTTGTAGTAGTGATGAACTTCACGTCTTGAGGTGTTTGGGAAATCTTAGGCGAGGCGAAACACCCTGGAAGTGTCAGTTATTATCCTTCTGGCTTAGAACGACTTTAGAGAATTACCATCAGAAACAAAGACTTTTAAAACTTATCTTACAAAAAATTATCAAGCTTAGAGAATTTTGTTTGTTTTAATGTTATTTTAAGAATTAGAAATGCAAATAAACTGCCGACACAAAATAGTCTCACAATAAATGGTAGCTCTGTCACTCCCTGCTGTGAACGATCATGTATTTTCGTCTTTAAACCTAGCACTTACTTTACAGTCATATAAATATTATCAATGAATGAGTGAGTGACATCAAGGTTAGACCGCTTGCACTCTGTGGCCAAACCCTGGAGTTCGGGGTCCTAAGTAAGATATCGGGACCGAGAGGAAACTATGATAAGACGGTTTCCAACTTGCCTATAGTCTTGGACTACAATTCCCAGCATGCAGCTAAACTCCGTGTTGCCATGTATCCTGGGAAAGAAGTCTCCAGCTCTCCATTGGCTACGCAGGAGAAGCGCCTGTAGTTTGTGCAAATAACGCGGACTTTAGCGTACGCACGCACGGAGATTGCGCAGATCTCGTCTAAATTATAAGGAACTCGTTTTTAGTAGACAGATTTTCAGGCCCAAAATCCGGTAGGATTTATGGACAGTTCCACTTCCGGTAACACCGGAAGCAATTCTAAGATGGCGTCCTCCTCCTTCAACCGACAAGCTATCGCGGACGGGAAAAGTGAGTTTCGTAAGAAAAAGCCGAAGCCGGAGAACCGAGGTAAGTTTGAGCGAGAACTGAAACCTGATTTTTGGATATTGAGTTACAGTTGTTTTCTTTCGCTGGCTGGGGGCTTGCAGTGCTGCCTGAGTGTGTTCTGTGAAGTTGAGTAGCTATCATTGCTGAGGATTGAGGATGATAGCCAGGCCTGCGGGACCGACTGGCAGGTATGGTGCCAGCCACGTGTTCCTAGCCGCTTTTGCTAGAGGCCTTTCATAGTAAAGATGCTGTAGAGTTTGTATTATGTAAAAGGAAGAAGATTAAGAAATTATGGAGGGTGCCGCAGGACTTTACTCTCACGGCGGTGGCTGAAAGTCGTTGACAAAATGAGAGATGGAACGGGGTAGGAGTGGGAGGTCGTTAATACATATGAGTGAGCGCTGATAATAAAGGAGTGAGACAGATAAGGAGAAGGAGCTATCTGGCGTGTTCTTTTTTTTTTAATATTTTATTTATTTGACAGAAGTCACAACTAGGCAGAGAGGCAGGCAGAGAGAGAGGGGGAAACAGGCTCCCCGCGGAGCAGAGAGCCCGATGCGGGGCTCGATCCCTGGACCCTGGGATCATGACCTGAGCCGAAGGCAGAGACTTTAACCCACTCAGCCACCCAGGCGCCCCATCTGGCGTGTTCTTAACGCTGGTTTGTCCTTTAGTGAAATTTTGGAATATTTATCATTATTCCTTTTCGTCAAACGGCTAATATATTAGACGACACGACTCATTCTCTAATGTTAGACTGCCTTACTTTGAAGTTGCCGTCTTTGTAGTGTGGTTTTATACATTTTCTTCAGTATGAATGACAGGAAGAGAGAATAAAGAAATAGCCCAAGACCCGAGTAGTCTTGTTGGAAGTGTTAAAAACCTTGGGAAGTATTAAAGGAGTTAGGGAAGTATTAAAGTAGTTCTGTTACTTTTAATTGTGTAACATAGCAGAGTACAGTCCATGTACAGCTTGCAGAATAAACCCCGCATGTGAGAAAGGAGCACTCAATACCATTACGCAGAAAAAACCTCATACTCCAGACCCTCCTAGGAGCACCTCTCAGATCATAGTCTTTTCCTTTGCAATACATGAGGTGACCATCCTGAATCATTTTGATCTTGTATTCTCTGCATCATATTTACTACCAATGCCCAAAGTGGTTGATTTTGTCAGTTTTTTACTTGTATATGAATGTAAGAGGGCTGTAGACATTGTTCTTGCTTCTTAGGCTAACTTTTTTTTTTTTTTCTCCTTATTGAGTCAATGATACTTGTAGCTGTAGTTTATTCTTTTCATTTGATATTGATGACATTTCCTTTCATGAATATACACTTATTTATATTCTCATTCTACTGTTGGTGGACATTTGGATTGCTCCCATTGTTTGCTATTATAAACAGGGCTCCTATAAACATCTTTGTGTGTATCTCCTGGTTTGCATGTTAAGAGTTTTCTCCAGATTATGTAAATAGGATTAGATCCATGAAAGTGAGGGTATGTGCAGGTAATGCTAAATCTCTCCCAAAGGGGTTGTGTCAGTTTATACTACCACTAGGAGTGAATGAGAATTCTCATTGCTCTACATCCACACTAGCACTTGATAAAATCTGCGTTTTGAATTTCTTTGATTTTGGTAGGTATGAAATGGTGTCTGGTTGGGGTTTTAATTGGAACTTCCTTTATTACTAGCGCGTTAATGTTTTTTTGAGCTATTTGCACTTTATTGTGAGACTCCTGTATATTTCTTTTGCTAGTTTCTTTTTTCTTTTTTTAATTTGTAGCTATTGAAGTGTTTAAATTGGTAGAGACTTGGTAAGAACGCATTTTAAGTAATCACAGTTGTAGAATTGGACTATTTTTTGTTTTTTAAAGGATTTTGGGAAGTGAATGATGTATGAAGGGTAGCTAATTCTCTGTGATTTGAACCAGAAATAACAAAGTAGATGTGAGTATAAGACAGAGAAGCAAGTTTACCCATGGTGGATAACATGAACTACAAAGGCCCTTTTCTCAGACTTAATGTGCATAATAATTTCCTGATGAGATATTAAAGCACAGATTCTTGGGGCTCATCCCAGAGATTGAGATTTGATAGGTCTGAGTTGGAGCCCAAGAATTGCATTTTTGCCTAATTCCTACTTTATGCTGATCAGTGCAGGCCTCTGGGTCATATCTTTGAGGAGTACTGAATTAAAGCATAGCTGTTAGATTTAATCTAAAATCTGGGACCAGGAGTTTTAGTAAATGATGTGAGAGATTAATTTATGACCTTGGGAGACATTTTGTTTCACTGAAAGGAGACCTAGACTGAATCACCTTTGTGTCCCCTTAGACAAGTCAGTAATCTCTTTGGACTGAATGTCTTTTATAAAATGGGGAAAATAATACTGGTTCTTCCTGCTACCTTTCACAATTGTCATGATGAAGGTGTATACAGAAATAAGGCATATGAAAACTTTTTGGAAAGTCTAAAACTCTATACCAGTGATTGGTAACTGAAAATATACAGCAGAATATCAGTTTTTAAGCTTTATGTGTGTGTGTACGCACACAGACACAAATATATATGCATACACACACACACACACACACACACACACACAGACTGCAATTCAGCAAAGTCCAAAATGTTATATTGAAAATACTCATGTAAACAAAATGGTGTTTGGATCTCTAATTCTAATAGTGTAGTGCAATAGAAGTTTTTGGAGTGCCCCACTGTCTGTCAGGCATATGTGAATTACTGTGAATCCAAGGAGGGTTCCTGCCCTTAAGGAACTTTGTTTTAGGAGGTGGAAGTATATACAGTTAATTTTAATATAGTATGTTGGTAATAATGACAGAGGCATGTTCTTTGTTGAATAATCTAAAGAGCATGGGAATTGGAACTATAAGGAGAGTTTTGGAAAGCATGTAAGTGTATGCATATAAGTGTTCAAAAAAGTGTCTGAAAGAAGGGTAAAATCTTACTTATAAGTTTCTTCCCCTCTTTAGATGAATCAGAACTCCTCACTGTTCCTGATGGTTGGAAGGAACCAGCTTTTTCCAAAGAAGACAATCCCAGAGGACTCTTGGAGGAGAGCAGTTTTGCAACTTTGTTCCCAAAATATAGGGAAGCTTACTTGAAAGAGTGCTGGCCATTGGTACAGAAAGCCTTGAATGAACATGTATGCACATTTTATATATTTCTTTGAGATTTTGCTCTTATATCTTTACTTTTAAATAAATATGCTCATTTTTTTAAAGTGTTAGCATAACTGGCTAATTTGGTTCCTTTGTTTTTTGTTTTTAAGAAAAATCTAATTTAGAGAGAGCGCAGGAGTTCCCATGCACATGTGTGATTGGGGGGAGGGGCATAGGGGGAGGGAGAGAGTGAATCCCAAGCAGACTCTGCACAGAACTTCAGGCGCTGTATGGCACTCTATCTCACAACCCTGAGATCATGACCTGAGTCGAAATCAGGAGCTAGATGCTTAATCCACTGAGCCACCCAAACGCCCCTGGTTCCCTAGGTATTTTAAACAGCCAGATATAAGCTTTATTCTTTTTTTTTTTTAAGCTTTTATTTATTTATTTGACAGAATAAGCACAGGTGGCTGTTGGGGGGCAGGAGGGGGCAGCAAGAGGGACATGGAGAAGCTGGCTCCCCACTGAGCAGGGAGCAGAATGTGGGGCTTGATCCCAGAACCCTGGGATCATGACCTGAGCCAAAGGCAGACACTTAACCCACTGAGCCACCCAGGAGCCCCTGGAGTTTATTTGTATATTCCACTTATTTTTAATTTTGTGAGTAATAGATAACTTTGAAAAATTCACATACTTTTAGAATTTTAGGGATCTCATGGACTTTCTGAAACTCACCTGTGAACTCCAGGTTTCAGGATGCCTATTCTATTCTGTACTGTGATATTTGCCATGTTTCTGTATAGTTTGAGTTAAAGCATGTTCCTGGATGATTTCTTAATTGTCATCATTTTTTTTAAAGATGTTATTTATTTATTTGACAGAGACCCAGTGAGAGAGGGAACACAAGCAGGTGGAGTGGGAGAGGGAGAAGCAGGCTCCCTGCTGAGCAGAGAGCCCGATGTGGGGCTTGATCCTAGGACCCTGGGATCATGAACTGAATGGAAGGCAGATGCTTAACACTGAGCCACCCAGGCATCCTCTTAATTTTCATTTTAAAGATTTTATTTATTTATTTGACAGATAGAGACCAGAAGTGGGCAGAGAGGCAGGCAGGGAGAGAGAGAGGGGGAAGCAGGCTCCTGTGAGCAGAGAGCCTGATGCGGGGCTTGGTCCCAGGACCCTGAGATCATGACCTGAGCTGAAGGCAGAGGCTTTAACCCACTGAGCCACCCAGGCGCCCCTTAATTTTCATTTTAAATGGAAGATGGGGATATGGTCAATTTTCCCCTGTATGTTGCTGCTGCCATTTTCCCTAGACGACATACTTGTTTTTGTTTTTCAAACTGTGGATTGAAACTTGTTAGTGGAGCAGGAAGTCCATTTAGTGGATATAATAAGCCTTTAAAAAAAAATGTGCCCAGAAAATAAATAAGTAAAAAGAAATAATATATCACATATGGTAAGGATAAGTTTCATTTTTATGAAACTTTTGATTCATTTATATGTGTATTGTAGGCACTGTGCACACACTAGTAGTGATATAAAGTGTATTCCTCAACTATGTGACTGCTCTGGAGTTCGTGCCTGTTAGGTGTTAGGATGGTTCAGTAAACCACAAGCTGTTTTACCTGTGTATTTTTAGACTGGACTCTTGTAAACTCATAAAGATCCATCCTTATGTTGAATTGTTCATTACTCACTACATTGAAATATTCTTCAGAGTATGCTTTCAGTCAGAAAATGACAATTTGCTTTGTTGAAATCTGGTTCTTCCTATTAAGAGTTAATATGTAACTTTCCAGTTATTGCTTCTTTCTGAACCTGTGAGAATTTGTTTTTACTTTGTATTTAGCTAATACCAATGAGAAGAAAGTTTGAAAAAGAAAGTCCATTCTCACCCTAAGGAGCAGATGGCAGATCAGAGCTGCGTCCAGTATAGGGGAAGTATATGTAGCTTTACATTTTTACCCTAGGTCTTAACTGTGGCCTCATATGTGCTGATAGAGGTTTTTTAAACTAGAAATAATCTTTATTCCAATAAGTACAAAGTATTCTAAAGCCAAATAAGTATAAATGGTTTCAGTTGCCTGCGTTTCTTAGATTCTTCAAAGTATGAAAGTAATCAGGTATTCATTATTTACATCAACTACTCAGCTTCAAGGAGGAATTTGATAGAATTACAGCTTAATTTACAGTAATTAATAGTTTGATTAGGTTAAGCTCTATAATTATGTAAAATTGAATTGATTTTTAGACAGTTATGTATTTGCTCTTTCCTTTTTGCAGCATGTTAATGCAACCCTAGACCTGATCGAGGGCAGTATGACTGTCTGTACAACAAAGAAGACTTTTGATCCATATATCATCATTAGAGCCAGAGATCTAATAAAACTTTTAGCAAGGAGTGTTTCATTTGAACAGGTAACTTTAGAATTAGGAAAACTTTGCTTTATTTGCATCATTAGAGATAACATATATAACACTGCATCCCTCCTTAGAGTTTTCATTTTTCTGCTTTGATTTCATTAACCTGGGCCTTGAAAATAAATGTATTTGTAGAGCATATTAATGAAATATTTTTTCATTTTTCCAAAAGGCTGTACGAATTCTTCAGGATGATGTTGCATGTGACATCATTAAAATAGGTTCTTTAGTGAGAAATAAAGAAAGATTTGTAAAAAGAAGACAACGCCTCATTGGTCCCAAAGGATCTACATTGAAGGTACGTTTTATCAGTGGAAAACTTAAGTGTCTTCCTCTGTCATTTAGTTTTTCAGTGTACTGAATTGCAATTTATTCTTTTGACACAGGCTTTGGAACTCTTAACAAACTGTTATATTATGGTTCAGGGAAACACGGTTTCAGTCATTGGACCTTTTAGTGGCTTAAAAGAGGTGAGAACTATTTACTGTCTTCCATTAATTTTCAGCAGAGAACAAATTAAGTAATTTGGTTATAATAGTTCATTGGATAACACACTGTTTTAACAATTACTGTTTTTTAGAATGTGCTTTGTTTGATTTCCCCTTGGTAAAAACTTTGTGCTTTTATTTGAGGGAATCATCACTCTTAGATCCTAACATATTATGGCCAACCTTTGGCAACTGAAGAGGTATCCATTTCCATATTAGAAGGTCTGCACATCATCCTTCTTTCCACTACAAATTTTAAATGGTTATTTAAGATTTTAGTCTGTAGTACATGTGGGAAATATGTAGTTACATGTGCACAAGTGATGAGAGAATTAAATGGTGATTTGCAGTAACCTATATAAACCAGTAGAGGTCAGAATCTGAAAACGTCTTTCGTTTAAAATAGGTTTTTTTTGTCTGAATTTTAATAGAATGTTTATTTAATGTATTGAACTTTTTTTTAAACTGTGAGATTTAATGTTATGAGAAAATCTGTGTAACCATTACAGTTTCTGTTAACTGCTTTGGTTGTCTGGATCTGGCTGCGAGGTCTTGTTTCGTTTCCAGAACCTTTAATGGCATTTCTCTTGGACCTCTTTCTCATAAGTTATCTGCCCTTTTCTCATGTGGCAATAATAACATATATATAGAATACCCTACAGTTTTGTAAGGTCTAAATATATTATTTAATTTTCACAGGAGAGCCTTGAGGTAATTTTATTTCCATACTACAAATGAGAAAGCTGGACCAGGACATTAGGTGACTTTCCCTTATCAAGTGGCATTCCCATTATTTGAGCACATATTTTCTGACCTTAAATCTAGCTGCCTTCTCCCTAAATTCCACACTTCCAAAACGTTTTTATTTTAGTTCTGTATGTTATATTTTAGCAGTAAAGTTGAGAAACTTCATTGCATCCAAGAGAGGTTGACTATTAACGAAAGATCTAAAAGTCACTCAAAGCAATTGAAGTAACTACTATATTCAGTTGGGTAGTCATTGCCTGGTTCGTATATTAATCCCCTTCCACTTAGTTCATTAAAATCTTTGTAAGTGACTAATTCATTTTTCTTTGCAAATTTCAGGTTCGAAAAGTAGTTCTAGATACTATGAAGAATATTCATCCCATTTATAACATTAAAGTGAGTTAATTATATATTACTATAACAGTGGTTGTCAAACTTCTTTTAGCTACAGAAGTATTTCCTTTCTTGAAATTAAATCTTTTATGGAAGCCAAATGCACAAAACAGATAAAGCAGAAGTATTTAGGGTAAATTAGAGGTAGAGTTCAACCCACTGAACTCTACCCTAGTCCTGTAGTTACATCCTTGGAGACTTAAGTCTCTGTGGTGTGCAGTCTGAAAACTATTGAAAGGGGATCTTATAATGTATGACATAGTTCTAATCCAAAGGAAATAAGCTTCATAGAGTTGGTCGTAGAAGGTAATGATCGAGTTTTCTTGGATGATAGGCCTATTACTATATTTAAAGATGTGATCTTTCAGAATTGGGCTTTTTTTCTATTAAATTGATCGAATATATCAGATTGTATTAAAACTTTTTTTTAATTTCATGTTCAAATTATAAACTTTGAGAGAGATCTGTTATATCACTATGTGCATAGCATTCATGATTACACTTTGAAATGTAATCATGCTGTAATGAGCTATTTCGTGAGGGGTATTTTTTAAGCAGTCCACTTAAATTTGATGAAGTTACAGAGTCACTCATAGATTGGGGTGAAAGAATGGTTTTGAGTTGTCGTGGGACATTAAAAATAAAGAGAGCTTGTCTTATATCTGATGTTTGGTTTGCATCCTTTGATGTTCCTTTGTGTGCAAAACTCATATGGAGTGGGAGAAATGTGAGAATATTGGTTTTATCTGATAGGAGAATGTGTGGTTGTTTCCTTTCCCTGTGATAAAGTACTACGAAAAACTTCCTGCTTTCAGGGAACATTGCTAATTAAGAACTCTCCTGCTCCTATTAAGTTGAGTTTTAAAAGTTTTAATGAACTAATGGATGAAAAGCTGAATTAGTCTCATCTCAATTCTCATCTCAATTTATTTGAACAGTTCTGCATTTCTTTTCTTTTTTTTGAAATTAATTTATTTATTTTTATTTTGAGAGAGAGTGAGCGTGTGCACATGTGAGCAGGGGGAGGAAGAAGCAAACTCCCTGCTGAGCAGGGACATTCCCCCCCACCCCCAATCTGGGGCTCCATCCCAGAGTCCTGGGATCGTGATCTGAGCTGAAGGCAGATACTTACCTGACTGAGCTCCCAGAAGTTCCGCATTTAATCTAAATTTCTAATGGTTTTCTGGTGCTTAGTTTGAGATTACTTTTTTTTTATGGAACTGTTTTGCTCCTACTGAGGAGTTTAAGAACTACTCGAGGTTTTTTTGTTTGTTTGTTTTAATATTTAATTTATTTATTTGACAACACAAGGAAAGAGAGCAGTAGGCAGAGGGAGAAGCAAGCTCACTGCTGAGCAAGGAGCCCACTGTGGGGCTCGATCCCAGGACACTGGGATCATGACCTGAGCTAAAGGCAGATGCTTAACTGACTAAGCCAGCCAGGTGCCCCAAGAACTGCTTGTTTTAACTGAATTATTTATAGGAACAATACTTATTCTAAAAATTCTTACTTTGTTCATATTAAAAATTCTTACTTTGTTCATATATCCCCATGACTAAAGACCTTAATGATCAAACGAGAGTTGGCAAAAGATTCTGAATTAAGATCACAAAGTTGGGAAAGATTTTTGCCACACTTCAAGCACAAGAATGTGAATAAACGCAAGGAACCAAAGAAAAAAACTGTCAAGAAAGAGTACACACCATTCCCACCACCACAACCAGAAAGTCAGGTCAGTATTTAATGTTGAATTTCTTTATATGAGGGGGAAACCATTTTAATCTGTTTTGTCGGAAACTTTATGGAGAGGAATTTAGGTAGACTCTGTGTGTGTGTGTGTGTACAGGTATGACATTTAACCAAAGTTAAATGTAAATAGGCTTATTTTGAGCTAAGTTTGTGGGCGTGGAGAGTGGGGGCTTCACAGTAGGAGTGTAAACTATGTCTAGGTGGTTGCTGTCAGCTGTGCCCTTGTAGCCACAGTACATGTTCCGTGGATAAAAAAGATTTAACATTTTAATCCTTAATGGTCTCACTCTGCTTTAGCATCTTTCCTGTGACTGTGTGCCATGTGACTGCTCTAGTTCTGAAATCTTAAATTCTCAAGTCCATCCTTTTTCTAAATTACGATGCTCTCATTTTATTACCTGTTTTCTGGCTTCATTCTTTTCCCCCCTCCCCAATTTCCTTTTCTCTCTTGTCCATCACTGTTTTCTTTTATGCTGCCTTTTCCTTCTTTTCGTACTTGTCCAGCAAAACTGTCAAACTTGATCAGTCCTAAAATTTGACTTCTTTCCCAGAATGTGGTAAACATAGCTGGAGAAAGTCTTATCTTTGGACTAAATCCACTATTTCATGTTTCCAACTTCAGATAATTCTCTGTGTCTTCTTAATTGGTTTTGTGGTTTTTTTTTTTTTTTAAGATTTTATTTATTTGATGGAGGGAGCACACAAGCAGGGGGAACAGCAGGCAGAGGGAGAAGCAAGCTCCCCACTGAGCAGGGAGCCCAACATGGGGCTCATTCCCAGGACCCTGGGATCATGACCTGAGCGGAAGGCAGACCCTTAAGCCACTCAGCCACCCAGGTGCCCCATCCTCTTAATTCTTAAAGCGCCCTCTCACTCCTAACAGATGACATTGCTTTTTATTTTATGGAAATATTTAAGACCATCAAGTAAGAATTCCTTCAGCTTCCTTTTCTCTCACCTATAATTTTTTTTCCCCACTTGAACCAATTTTTTCTTTACCTGTTCTTTGAGTTCTATCTTTGCCTGTCTCCTGAGGGGTCTTACTTTATGATTCCCTCCCTTGGCTGTATCTTAAAGTCTTTCCTTTCTACTAATGCTTTGTTGTCAGCATGTAAACACATCCCTTTCAGTGTACTGTCTTCTCCACAACCCTGTATTTGGAGTTTGAATCTCAGAGGTTTGATGAAAGGTCAGAGGGAAAAAGAAATGATGATCATGGTGATAAAACAATGGAAATGTTTGTTCATGAGGTCTGTTCTGTAAATGGAAGCAAACAAAGGAACTGTTTGTTGGGGGAAAGTAGATTTTATTTACGTACTGTCATGTCATTTCATAACACTTGCTCTACATCTTATGGCCTTGTCCTGTAGTTAGGAATTATCACGTCTTTCTTCCCTATGACTAAGCTTCTTTAAATAGTGATGTCTCAGTTGACTTACTCTGCCACTTACTTGCTTCGTGTCTGGCAATTTATTTAACCTATCCATGCCTCAGTTTCCCTGTACATAAAATGGAGATGATAAAAACATCTTCTGAGGACTGTTAATGAGGATTAAATGATTAGTAATTGTAAAGAGCTTAGTAACTATTAAGAGTTTAACTGCCTTAGATACAATAATGTGTTAATGTAAGATAAGTCAATTCTATCTTGATGAATAAGCTAGTGCTTTCTCTAATTAGCATTGAATTAGTCACCAAATCCTAACAATTCTTTTCATTTTGCATGCCATTACTTTATTCCAAGCATTTATCTCTTCTTTCTTCTGTACCTTTTAGATGCTGCTTTGGTCTCCTCATTTCTCTCAGAAACCTGCAGTCATTTCTAAATCATAGTCTACCCTCTTCACGTGGCATTCAAGTTTCTTCAAGCTTACCCCAGATAATCTTTCCAGTTTCCTTGCACCTTTGTGAATTATTGATCTTCTGTCCCATCTAGAACTGCCTGCTGTGTATTTCATGAACACATCACCTTCTTTCCTACCTCCATGCTTTTTGCTTGTATTCTCTTCAGCTTAGAGCACATCTTTTTATGTTAGTACCTTTATGAATTGACCATAGATTTTTGATCTCACTCTCTTTACCTCAAGGACATTGTGCCTTTCTCAGGGAATGACTTCTCATTTACCTTGTTTCTGATATAATTGTAAATACTAATTTCAACAGATTGATAAAGAATTGGCTAGTGGTGAATATTTTCTGAAGGCAAGTCAAAAGAAGCGACAGAAAATGGAAGCCATAAAGGTAAGACCGTCTAGTTCACAACATTGATAGCACAATTCATAGAAACTTGAATTCCTGCTTAACGATAAATTGTATTAACGTATTTCTTGTTAATAATCCAGGCTAAACAAGCAGAAGCTCTTAGTAAGAGACAAGAGGAAAGAAACAAAGCTTTTATTCCACCTAAAGAAAAACCAGTTGTGAAACCAAAGGAAGGTAAATGCTTGTTCTCCATTTATTGGTTTAGTATTAAAGTCTTGCTGAAAAGTAAACCCAGTAGGGAATTTTTCTGAATCTCTTTGAGTGTTAACTAAAGACATAACTGTATCTTTCATCATTTCTGTTGACATACTATTAATCACTAATCCTAGGGACGAGACCACTGAGGTGTTATATAATTTATTAGCAGCTAATGACTATTTAAGAGTGTCCTGGATTGACAGTCCTCTCCTGACCTCTGATTGTACTGGAGTAGGACTCTGTTGTGAAAGCTATAAACTAGAGCAGTGAATCTTCTGTAGATTTAAAAGTAACTAAAGCAGTGAGATTGCTGAGCTCTGTTTTCATGCCTCTCAGAAAGAGCTTATCAGAGGTTATGCTTTTCTTCTCTTATGTGATCTGTGGCTTAAAGTTTGATTCCTGTATTGTTATGATGGATTTCTGATCACCTTGGACTAAAGGACACTCTCAAAATAACAAGGTCTTAGGACCTATTAAAAAGATAGTGTGTGGCACCTGGGTGAGCTCAGCTGGTTAAGCGGCCGACTCTTGGTTTTGGCTCAGGTCATGATCTCGGGGTCCTGGGATTGAGCCCAGTGGCAGGCTTTGTGTTCAGCCAGGAGTCCACTGGAGGATTTTCTCTCTCCCTCTGCCCCTCCCTCCTCGTGTGCTCTAAGATTTAAAAAAAAACAAAAGAAAAGAAAAGTTTTGTGTCTTTCCTTTTCTATCCCTAGCCTCATTTGATCCACCCTTTGCTCTTCTGCATTTTCTTTCCCACTAGTGACACTTGTACTCTTCCTGAAATAATTTTCCGGAGTAGCCGGTGACACAGTGAGGGGAGGGAAGTCGCTGGCATCATTGTACCTGACTTATTGGTCAAAACCAGATATAACATTGCTATTTTAATATCCTATATTAATTATATCAGTGTTAATAGCTCTAAAAATACTCTGTTTCAATGTAGATCATTGCTTATGTAAAAATTAAGAACGTCATAAGCATTATAATTTCCAGTTTACTCAGCCTGTGAGTTTTACTTAGAAGGTCATTTAGTAGCCATTTTAATCTCTGTTTATAATGATTAAAAATGTAGCTGTTTCATGATAGTAAAAGCTTTACATCTCTACTCAAGTTGCTGGGAAGTTTGACATCTTATCTTGGGATTCTCCTATGCTCTGAATACTGCTCTTTAAATTGTGAGAAAAACCTACATTTTTTTCTCCTTTTTCTTTGTTGTTCAAGGTTTTGGCATTGATTCCATGGTTGGATTCTGTTAGGAGGATCTCCAAATGCTCTCAGATCATTGTCTTTATTACCAAAACCTTGTTAAATAGAAGTACTACTAGTCATTCATTGAACTAATAATTAGAAAACTTCATTTTTAAGTTTTTTTTTTTTTATTAAAGATTTTATTCATTTGAGAGAGAGAGCATGAACGGGGAGGGACAGGGGTGAGGGAGAAGCAGACTTGCTGCTGAGCAGGGAGCCTGATGTGGGGCTCGATCCCAGGACCCAACCCAAAGGCAGACACCTAACTGATTGAGCCACCCAGGTGCCCCTATTTTTAAGTTTTTATGTGTGGTATTAGATGAAGTAGAGTTTGACCTAAAGCTTAATGACTAGTTAATTAAAATTATGGAAGCTAGAAGGGCTACATTTTAATATTATTCATGAAATTTTAAGTTATTTTAATGGGTAAATGTCTAACTTTAGGCAGTTGTTTTATATTTTAAGGAAGTGTTTTATATCTTACAACATGGCCTTTCACCTGTACTCTGAAATTATTACACCAAATACATACTCTCTATGTTTTATATGGTAAAACCTAAAGAATTACATATATCATTTTTAATTTGTCTAGCTTCTACTGAAAATAAAATTGATGTTGCCGCCATCAAGGAAAAGGTTAAGAAAGCAAAGAATAAGAAACTGGGAGCTCTTTCAGCTGAAGAAGTTAAGCTTAAAATGGAAGCGGATGAAAAAAAAAAGAAGAAAAAAAAGTAACATTAAAAAAAACCCTGGATGAGAACTCTTTAAGCTATCTCCTTTTGTAAAGGATTTTGAGATACTAGGGCATTAGTAGCCTATGTGTGAGAAGGAATACTCTGATCACATTTTTCTGAGTTTGTGTCATTCTTCAAAACAGTGTTTATATAAATATAAATATTCTTTATAAATATAAATTATTGTATTTTCTGTGTGTTTTTTTAAAAGCTTTGTGCTAGAAAGTAGTATATATGCACCTTGTATATATTGTATACCTAATCTGTTTTGGCATGTTTGGCCTAAGCATGACTATGGTGTAATTTTTAGGTTGTTTTATATAAAGATTTTTGAGATGTGACTATTGTAATTATCCATCAAGTCCAGTGCTTGATGCCGCTGGTTAGTCTTTAAATAGAATCATGTCCCACCATTTGGTTTTGAGGAAAATAAATGCAGACTTTGCAGTGCTCTCTCTAATGCTAACAGGTAAACATTTGGGCTTATTTCTTTTTATAATCTCATTTTACATTATGTTTAAACAACCCACAAGCAAAAAAAGCAAGGCCTCTTAAATCCCTTAATTACTATTCTGAGTCTGGGAAAATGGTAAACCAAAGACCTCAGATTGCAAGAGAGTGGGGAAAACCAGATGTTTAGAATTGAAGCAGCATGCAGCAAGTTATGTAGAAATGTTTTTACTAATGAGGGCCAGTGGAGTACTTTGAATTACCTAAATCGAACACATTCATTTTGTAGTTTTAGAAGCTAAGACACACGGAGGCTGGGTACCTTACAGAAGGTCACAGCTGTGGTAGCCTGAAAACAAAGCTTATTCATAGAAAAGTGGAAAGTAAAAATGAGTTTATTCTAGAGGTAGGAAGTTGAACAGTATTTTTCTTTTTATTAAGGGTTTAGTGCAACAACATTTTTTTCTAAAATGTTTTAAAATTAGAAATAAGAACTATATACCCAACTGTTAATTAAAAAAAAAAACAACCCATATGTGAATGAATTGTGTTTTTTTGTGGATTATATTAGTTCAGAAGAACTAAGTGAGGGTATTTGTGCTTGACCCAAATGGTCATTATAGCACTCAGTATTAGGATTGGTGGACTAACAATGAGAAAGAGAGATAGGTATCTGTTGCGTGAAGATACTGGCCAGTCAGGATGCACAATCGAGTAGTAATCTGTGAAACAAACATAAAATATCCTTAATTGTTGTTTCTCAGAATGCAGTAATGTAATTCACATAGATCTTAATGGAGCAATGATTTACGTACATACCTGTGACTTTGTCTCGCTTTAGGTTAGCTGTAAAGTAGGAAGAAAGAAAAAAATTTGTACTGGTGAGGCTTTATTTTGCTTAAAAAAGCTAAGTCTCTAATTATGACCATTAACTTGATTTTGGTTTCTTATAGTGTTTTTCAAACATTAGTTATTAAATATTTTTTGTACTAACTATATTAATGTGACATTTTTAAATTGACCTTTTATATAAACTTTTTGCATACTGTTACTGTAAGTGAAAAAAATTTCATATGTCATAACTAGCAGATAATAAATACAATTAAAATAGCAAACTATTAGAATTTAAAAATAAAAATAATTGTTAGTAACAGTCAACATGAGCAATTTATTAAAATATTTTCCTGGAAATAAGTTCCTCCCTGCGAAGAGCAATACTGTTTAATGATCAGTCATTAATAAAGAGACCATGACCTCTCTCTTAAAGGGATTTGGTTTGCATAATGTCATAATTATTCCTCTCTTTTCACTGAGATTTATTCAGATTTTGACATTCAGAACAGTAGGTAGGAAATTCTACATCTTCTTTAGCCTTCTTAATACTTTTTTAATCAAACAGATAACCCTTTCTACATCAGTGCTTGGCGAGCTGCTGTTGAGTTCTGTAGTGGAGTCCAGCAAGGACGTGGCCGGGGTGTTTGTGAGCAGCCCTGATCATCAAACCTGTGACTGGGCTTTGTCTGTAGTGAATTACCAGGAAGCTGCTGGTACTTTATCTTTTTTGCAGTTAATACCATGAAATCAAGAATGTGCTGTGCTCATTACACTTTTCCTTACATAGACATTTTTTTCAATGGTAAGTATTCAACTCTTGAACATTTAAACAAATGTACATTCTTGCACTAGCTAAAATCATCCCATGTATCATCAACATACCCAGCACATTATGCAAAACCATCCTGATTTGGCCTCCATGGGTATTTACTGAACCTGCCAACAGTACTTAAAGCACCAGAAAGGAATTTTTTCCTCCAATATTCGTCGTAATTTTTCAGAGATGGAATCTGTTAAAAGCTCTTTACCCTCATGCACACTAGCGTGTTTGCCTATATTCTTCTTAAGGGCCCAGGGGCTTTTCATTACTGGATCACAGCCTTCATTTTTCTCAGTTTTTATCCCATAAGATTAGAGGCCATTTAAAGCTAGTTCCCAAGATTAAAAGCTAAAACTTGAACTTTCTTCTGTCACTGTGAAGTTGTTGTTACTATCTAGATTTTTAAAGAAGAGTATTTTTTAAGGAAACATGCCTTAAAATTAGTGCTGCTTTTGCCAGCCAGACTAGGGTACAAAAGAATTAGGCATAATTCCTACCTGTTGGAATTCAGAATCCAGTGGGAAAGATAGCTAACCAGGGGCAAAATTAAATTACTCCTTAAATAATTAAAAATAATTGTCTCAGTTTTCACCATGGATTTTAAAGAAGCAGGTTTGTTCATGGGCATAAAAATGTGACAAAGTTTGGGCATAAAGAAAACACTCAACATTTGGGATTATAGGAAGGATGAATTTGTGGATAATAGGTAATATTTATTGAATGCCACTGTATGCCAGTTTCTTGTTCTAAATATAAATATTTTCCTTTTTTCTTGATCTGTTTCATCAAACCTGTGAAGAGATACTGCCATCTACACTTTATTGTTGAGGAAATCAGACAGTTGCCCAAGGTCACAGTGGTGGAACTGGAAATTGAACCCGGTCATACTCTTTCAAAAATGTGTGGTTTTCACTCCGATATTATACTGCCTAACTTGGAAAAAATAATACGCTTTATAGTATTGTAGCAACATAAAAAAATTCAGTTAATATGTTGAAACTCTGGGAAGGGATTCATTGCATAGTGGCTACACATTAACAAAGCTGAGTGAAGTGAATGGTTGAACCAGCGGAGAAATGACCACTCAGCTGATCAAAAAAGTGAAGATGAGAAATCAGTATTCACAAATCAGGAGTTTTTTTGATCTTGCTGAAATTAGCAAATCCTGGGTCTACAGTTTGTATTCTCACAGTCATTTTTTGTTGTACTGATTAGAGCTAAATAAGGAGGATATTATTTGCTTCCTTAAATTTACCTTAATGTTCATTTCCAGGACAGTAAGCCATCAGTTTGATTGCTACCTGATGCCAGCTTCCCTGAAAATAGCTATTAGGTTAAAGCAAACATTTGCATTCTTAACTCTGCAGAGAAAGTTTTATAGTTTAAAACACATAGTATTATTGGTAGATTTTTCCTTTTACTCACTGCAGAGGTTATCTAAACATTTGTCATCACTGGGGCAGGCGCTGCAAGTAGATCCTTTTCTATATGGCCTTTGGTAGCTTTGCCTATAAAGGAGAAAAAAGCTGTCCATTAGGAGAGTTGTTTTTTTTTTTTTTTTTTTTTGCAATGAAATTCACTGTGACTCTGACTAAATCTGTAGGGTGGAAGTCCATCGATGCCCAGGGTTGAGGAAAGTGGAAGCCTGTTAATATTTACAGAGTTGTAGTCTATGCGTCTATCTATGAACCTATGTCTTCACCTGTATCATCTCATTTCACTCTGTAAGACAACTATGGAAGTTATTTTTATTTTTATTTTACAGATAGGGAAACTAAAGCTCTCAGAAATTAACTTGTCAAAAATCACAAAAATGTGTACATGTCAGAGTCACAGCGAAACCCAGATTGGTCTGACTCCAGGGCAATGCTTGCTCTGCTTAACTGTCTGGCCTGGGTGATCACTACCATCCAAAAAACTGCACATTCTAAGGTCTTACGACTCACATTTACTCTTCTCAGCTTAGCAAGCCTCCATGGTTTTTATTGGACAAGAGTCCTTTAGCTGGGTTAAGTGCCTTCCAAAAGAAAAGAACGAGAGATAGGGGGAATTTCTAGTGTGCAGTTTGTTTTCACATAAAAGGTGTGATGTGAATAATAATAAGCATCCTTGAACGAATGAATTTTCACAGTAGTCTGTGGGGAAGATACTATTGTTATTTATCCCCAATATAGCTAGAGGTGAGGCACAGAGTGAAAGTAATTAACCAAGCTCATATACTAGAAAGTGAAATAATACACAGACATTTTATATCCCCATGAATATCTTCAGAGTAGTAATGATGAGACTGATAGATGCATTGCAGTAAATCTGCCATTGTACTCATAGTTTTTGGAAAGGAGTTTTTAACTTTTTTGTGTCATGGTACCTTTGGCAGTTCTGGTGGAGCCTATGGACTCTCAAAATAGTTTGGTTTTACTGTTTTTTTTTTTTTTTTTTTTTTTTTTTTAGTTAGTTCAGTGCTGGGCTTGAACTCATAACCCTCATAGAGACCTGAGCCAAGATCAAGAGTTGGACACTTAACTGACTGAGCGACCTAGGTGCCCCAAAATTGTTTGCTTTTAAGTGCATAAAATAAAGTTCGTAAGATTGTAAAGGAAACCGAGTAAGCTCAAAAAGTTATCAAAATGTTAAAAATATTTTTGATATAGCAATATGTGCTTCTCAAATAAGATCTAACAAGAAGTCTAATGATGATAGTACATTTAATGATAGATTACAACCATATTTTGCGATCTCTGCAGCAAGTGGAATGTGCTATGAGAATAACTGATATTTACAAAGATAGAAGTAGTACTAACACAGAGTCACATCATTGCCTACGTGACTGAAGTGTTGTCTTTATACATAGTGAAATGTTATTTTCAGTAGAGATTAGTGAAAATAAAGATTTAACTTTTTTCCTAATCCAAGTTCATGGACTCGACTCCCCTCCCCTAACTATAGTTTTACTTCTGAAGTTAAGAAAGTTAAGGAGACGTTACTTTTTTTTTTTTTTTTTAAATCCCTATCAGTTGACTTGAAGTAGGGGCGATTTTTTTTTCTTTTTAAGATTTTTTTATTTATTTGACAGAGAGAGAGACACAGCGAGAGAGGGAACACAAGCAGGGGGAGTGGGAGAGGGAAAAGCAGGCTTCCTGCTGAGCTGGGAGCCCGATGCCGGACTCGATTCCAGGACCCTGGGATCATGACTTGAGCTGAAGATCGCCAATTAACTGACTGAGCCACCCAGGCGCCCGAGACATTACTTTTTATTAACACATTGTTTCCAACACCAAATATATGTTCTAATTTTGTTTGGCTCCAAATTAATCTAGGTTGTTTCAGAAACCATTCATCCTCATGCCTACTTTACACTGTGGAAAATAGTCAAAGGAATATTCTGATAACAATTATAAAAGACCTCCAAAATACACATTAATCATGGGGATAGCTTTCATTGTTAGAAAGCACAGTACTTATTGAGTGGTCAAGTTCTACAATGTTTTTAATAAAATCGTTTGTGCTATGTCATTCTTTTTGTTGAATTGTGTATTCCAAACTGCAAAGAAAAAGAAGAAATTACTACTGCAAAACCGGGCTAAAGACAAGGCAGTTGTGGAATTCTAGGGAAATGGCAGAATTCATCCCAGGAGAAATAACGCTACTGGAAAGGCCTCATTTGTCTGGATAGGAACAGTTGAGACCAAGGGCCCTAAAGTATTCTGTCCCTAAAGAAACAGGAAATGTTAGTGTTTCCCCAGGTAGCCTAAGAGGGAGAGGGCCCCGGGACTGAGGAAGAGAAAAGACAGACTTTTTTTTTTTCTAAGTAATCTCTGTGCCCTACATGGGATTCAGACTCAACCCTGAGATCTGTGAATACTTCTCAAATAATCACCATTGCCGGGTATTACATATACCTGGTATTTTACTTCGCTTTCTCGTGTAATTTTTATAGCTACTTGGTAAGAGTTGCTTTTATTATCCTGATCTTTTGGAAAGGAAACTGAGGTTCAGAGAGATCAAGTAACTTGTCCAAGATCACACAGTAAGTGAACCAAGGTACTGAGTCTCAAGACCCTGTATCTTAACTATTAAGCTATATAAATGTCACGAAAAGTCACCACTGATTGACTTAATGGCTTTGGCTGGGTTCTCCTGGGTTTTCCATATTTTCTGACTTTGGGATTTTAAGTCAAAGTTGTTCTTTTCTGAATGACACCGGATTTTAGTCCTTTCACTCTCACCTACACTCAGTCAAACTATCAAACATTTCTTCTGAACATTGCTTTAAGGAAAGAGAGAGAGGCTTCTAACAAATCTTTTGGAATCCCAAAGACTGGAAAAATCCAGATTTCAAGGGCAACAAATTAAAGAAAAAAAATGTTGGGTGCCTAAGTGTCTCAGTCAGTTGGGCTTCTGCGTTTGGCTCAGGTCATAATCCCAGGGTCCTGGGATCGAGCCTCACATCGGACTTCCTGCTTGGCAGGAAGCCTGCTTCTCCCTCTCCCTCTGCCTGCTGCTCTGCCTACTTGGGCCTTCTATCTCTCCGTCAAATAAATAAAAACCTTAAAAAATATATGCGTTGTATGTGTGTATGTTTATGTAACACTTGTAAAGGGTGAACACAGAGAAACACATACACTGAAAAAAATGTACCAGGTGTTAATGGAGTAGATCTCTGGGTAGAGGAAATAATGGTGATACTAATTTTCTTTTTTACACTTTCTTTATCATCCCAATATTCCACAATGAAAATAAATACTTCTAAAGTAGATTTTAAAAAATTTAGAAAGAGGTTGATGTGGGTACTTACCCTGGTCCGTAGTTGCATATGAAATGTGCTAAGTTGGTTAAATGTCTAATGCCATCGACTGTGTGGCAATGCTGTACTGCACATCCAACTTTGTAACTGTTTGCCCACACGACCTGAAAGAAAATAAGGATTTGTAGCAAGAGAGAGACAATAAAGTGAACATCTGAGTATGATTAGGCCTTCCTCAACATAGTGAGGTGTGTTCACTCTGGCAGGTAGAGCCGTTGCTACCGGGGAGCATGCAAGTGCTTGGAATTCAGCTGGAAACAAGAATTGGAACTATTATTATTGGGGTGTGAGTGTGTGAAATGATACTAAGATAATTTCTGGCACTTGAAATAAAATAGGGAGTGCTGGGGAGATGGGGCTGAGCCTGGGGGTCCAGAGAAGGTGTCCTGGAGGAGGGGACACACTGGGGATGAACACGCAGAGACCGAAATGTGGGAGGAAGAGCCTTCCGTGCCGAGGGAGCAGAGGAGCAAAGGCCCCGTGGTGGAACTGGCTTGTCTGTGAGAGTGGCAGAGAGAAGGCCCACAGGGCTGGGATCCAGGCAATAGGGAGACTCACTGGCGTTGAGGTAAGAGGCAGAGGGCCAGGTTGTGGGAAATCTGGTAGGCAAGTGAGCATAGACTCTTTTTTCCCATCTCAGGAGGCTCTCTCATTGTTATGAAGTCAGTGGACTGAGAAGAACAAAGGAAGAAAGAGGGTGGGCATTTGAGAGGCTGTTATAGTGGTACAACAAAGACAAGATGGTGGCCCACACGTGGGTGGTGGTAGTGGCACATTCCTGGGAATCCATCAGGTTCATGGTTCAGCTTCTAGCTAAAGCTGAAAGGATTTACTTTTGCTTTGAATGTGGAAGAAGTGGGAATATTTGGGGCCTGAGTAACACTTCCTAAGATTAGGAAAACTAGGGAAGAAAGAGGGTTAGGGGGAGCATGGACAAGGGTTCTGTTCAGGTCTGGTGACCTCTGAGATGCCTATGAGACGTGCAAGTGCAGAGTGACTTTGGGGCTGAAAAGTGGCCATCTACAGTTCAGGGGACAGAGCGAGGCTAGAGATAGAAATCTGGAAGACACCGGAATAGATCAGGTCATAGGCAAAGATAATAAATAAGTAAATGAGAGCATGGGATAAAGAGAAAAAATCAACCAGCAAAGCAGATTGAAAAAGAGTGCTGAGTGACATAGGAGGGAAACCAAGGACAGAGGCAGCCTCAGGGAGAGGGGCCTGGCTATCACACTGGACCCCAGGGTCAGAATTTTCCCCCAATTTTTGAACAAGGGACTTTACATTTTCATTTTGAATGAAGCACCACAAATTATACAGTTCATCTTAACCAGGAGTGTTTGATGTCACAGAAGCCTAAAGAAAAAAAAAAAAAACACCACATTTTTGAAGACCTAGTGTCTGGAGATAAACCAGCAATTAAATGCATTCCTTTTTACAGTGATACCAAATTGCATGTGAAATTATTTTTACTCATTTTTTTTCAAGAGCAATTTTGTGACAAGAATTGTGCCAAATATGGGAGATACAGAGGTGAATGAGTTGGAGCTGGGGTGGGGGGGTGCCTTTACAAAATGTAGAGAAAAGCTGCCATGGGGCCTTTATGCAAGGGTTTGACTGTGGTGTGGGTGGGGACAGAGGGGGCTCAGGCACCGGCCGGCGTGGGAACCTGCTCTGACCTAGTGAGATGGAATCGAAGCCCAGTAAGCTGGTCTAAGAGCCAGGAGAATTCTTCCCGAGAGGGCAACGCATGCTAACCCAAGAGGAGAAAGACTCACCGAACTGAGACAAGGCTGGTGTGGCTGCAGGAAAAAGTTCAAGTTTACTTAAAAAAAAAAAAAAAAAAAAAATCAGTGAAAACCTCAGGGAGAGAGAATTGAGTGAGGATAGATGTGGATCTGAGTCTGTGCTTCTCCGAGGCTTAGAGTGGGGCTGTGGGTGAGGGAGAGGTGAGGGAGGCTGAGCGGGCAGGAGGGAAGGGAAGGTAGGGCCACAGCTCTCCACATGCTGTCCTCTTTGGTTTGGCAACTGGGGAGACCATGGGATGGCAGCTGCTGCTGTCCCATAGAGGAGGAGAAGCGCTCTCCTGAAGCAGGGACGGGTTCCCTTCCTGATCAGCCTTTCATCTCACACAGGAATCCCCTGCCTGGAGGCCTCTAGCTCAGGCTGAGAAGCCTCTCTTTATGGCCATGAATCCTTGACCTGATCCTTGCACTTATACTTTCCAATCGTTTTTGCATTTATTTAAAAAGTTTTAAATTTCTCTTCATTGTATCTCAGAGCGATTCCACCTCTTTAAAATACAGGTTTCTGGGCCCATCTCAATCCTGCTGAAGGAGAGTCACTGGAATTGTCCTTGAAATCTGTATTTTTTTTAATTGAGATATCATTTATATATAACATTACGAGTTTCAGGTGTACAACATAATGACTCAATATATTTATACACTGTGAAATGATCATCATAATTGATCTAATTAACATGTGTCAGAAAGAAAATCACTGGCCTGAAGGGGTGTCACTTATGCTAGGCCATGTCACCCAACTGGGGCCTACGGCCTAACCTAATTGCACTTTCAACCTTGCCCCCACTTTTTTTTTTTTTTTAAGATTTTATTTCTTTATTTGAGAGAGAGAGGGAGAAGCAGGCTCCCCACTGAGCAGGGAGCCCAATGTGGGGCTTGATCCCAGGACACTGGGATCATGACCTGAGTCAAAGGCAGACGCTTAATGACTGAGCCACCCAAGCAACCCCAGAAATGCAGTCTCAACAGATCAGTCAGGAACTTTCTGGTCAGCACCAATAAGCCAATCTGTCCCAGGGACCTCTCCATCCCCCAAAGGAAGATGAGGTAAACCATCTAATTAAGATCCTTTTCTCCCCAAAGGAAGATGACCTCACTCAAAATAATCCTTTTTCCTGTTTCTGACTTTTTGTCCTGCCTTTAAAAACCTTTCCCTTTCCGTAGCCCTTTGGAGTTCCCCTCTGCTTGCTGGGTGGGATGCTGCCTGATTCGTGAATTAGTTAATAAAGCCAATTAGATCTTTAACATTACTTAGATGAATTCTTGTTATTTAACATGCCCAATACCATATAGTTACAGATTTTTTTCTTGTGATGAGAATTTCTAAGATTTACTCTCTTAGCACCTTTCAAATATATACTACAATATTGCTAGCCATGGTCAGTCAGCATGCCGCACGTTACAACCCCGGACTTGTTATTTTATAACTCTAAGTTTGAGCCTGTAACCACGTTCACCTATTTTGCACCCCCCCCCGCAACCCAAGCAACCACCAGTCTATTCTCTAAGAGTTTGCTTTTTGTTTAGATTCCACATTTAAGATGGTATTTGTCTTTCTTGGCCTAACTTAATTCACTTAACAAAGTGCCCTCCAGGTCTATCCACCTTGTTGCAAACAGCAGGATTTCTTCTTCAGGAAAATGTGTTACATATGCCATAAAAAAAGAGTAAAATCTATATTTTAATGGGTTCTGTAAGTGATTACTATGCATGTTAACTGGGTGCAGTGTCATCTGTGTTTTCCTCTTGCTATCACCTTAGTAAATCATCTTATATTTTTTATTTTTTGGTCTTTGAACACTTTCTTCAGGTGTTGTTTTATCTCAAATATTCTTAATCTTTGGGCTTCCCACACACACATCTTTAACATTTTACACTGTTTCTTTTGTTTTACTGTCTTTTACTTTTTTTGGTCTGGCCTCTTTGTTTCCAAGGGTGTGTAATGTTAATTACCATTCACTTTGTTTTAATTGGTCTCTCTTTTTTTAAAGTCAGTTTGTAATTAACACCCAGTAAAACCCATCCTTTTTAGGTGTCCAGTTCCATGAATTTTGGCAAAACATAGTGTGTGGCCACCACCATATTCACGACCTAGAACACATCCACCGCCCCCAAAAGTTCTCTTGTGTTCCTTTGTGGTCGTCTCTTCCCCCATTTCTCGGCCCCTGACAATCACTGATCTGTTTTCTGTCCCTATCATTTTGCTTTTTCCAGAATGTTACAGAAATGGGATCAGTTTAAATGTGGTTTTTCTGCTCTGGCTTCTTGCACTAAGCATAAGCATTTGAGATCCGTTCGTACTGTTAGGCTCACTTCTTTATTGCACGAATGTCCCACAGTTTATTCTCCATTCAGGTTGGTCTCTTTTTAAAAGCTTTTGGGCATTTAGATTCTGGGTTCAACTTGTGGGGTCCAGGGCTACAAGATGGAGTTCATATTCCAGCCCGGCCACTCACTCCGTGACCATGACCTTAGCTTCCTTCACTATTTAGTGAGGATAACACTATCGACTCCACGGACCTCTTTTGACATTTTCAATGGGCTCGTAAGAACGTACTCAGCAAATGTTCATGTTTTATTCTCTAATTACTAATTTTCTTCTGTTTTAAACTTTTTGAAAACTATCTTTTTATCAGTCAGATTCCTATTGTATGTTTTCATTTATTTTACTTTATTTTTTAAAATGGTAAGGAAGAAAGCCTAATTATAAGAAAATAAAGAGAACTATTGATTACTGGGAATTCACCTGGTGCCAAGGTAGTGTTAAACGCTTTCCATGCAACATCATGTTTAACTTTGTAACAAATCACAAAAGAGGTATGGCTCCTATTTTTATAGATGAAAGTTGGAAGCTACCTCTGCCTGACCACAAAGTACTGTGAGGACAGTCCATGCCCTGAGCAAGATGCTTCAGAGTGCTTTCCCTTTTAGCGGAACTAGGAACGACTCTTTATTCCTTTCTAACAAAAACATTGCATCTGGGGAACTTACAGGGGGCAGGTATGTCTCTCATTTGGAGCTACTGCCCTCTTCCTACCATCTTTCAAGTCTCAGTATGAGTCCTTCTGACTCATTACCAGGCACCAAGTCACGAGTATGGTGACACTGCAACATATATAAAACCAGATAGATAAACTGTGAAATATGCCCCACTTTCATTGGTTCCATAAGAGTAACGATTTCCAGAGGGTGGCAGTGCGGCATTGATTAAAGCCAAAAATGAGATCTATGATGCCATCTAGTGGGCATTCTCAGAACTACCAAACTGAAGCGCTGCCCCGCCCGTATATTGAAGTCAA